TGCCAAGCACTGTTACAGGTACTGGGATACAGCCATGAACAAAGTCCCAGCTTCTGTGGAGCTTAAATTTTGACAGGCTTATCTCTCTTGCCAGCAAATTTTATTCTCCTGGAAATCTGAGTTGGCCCTAACTTCTTCCTTTGATAGGAATAAAAAGAACTGATAGGAGACATTGCCTGTTCTAGATCCATATTGAAAAGAAGGTCCTATTGTCTTGAGTTTGGCACGTGCTCCTTTAAAGGGGAATTCAGTTTGTGTTTTGTAAGGGAGAGGAATAACAGAGAAGTTAATAACTTCAATGAAGACTCCTCCTACTACTCCTCAAGGTTTCCATAAGATCAATGTATTGTCACAGTTGAAGAAACTGAGGCTAAGGGACCAATGGAGGTGGGACTCAAGATTTTGATTTGATACCTCATGCTTTCTTTCTTGTATAAATTGGATGTTATTTGCTCGATTTCAAACAAATACTTTAATGGCATTTTCCCAGTTGGAAGTTGACATTGGTAGTTAGAATTTCTGGCTAATAGATTTTACAGTGAGCACAAGTAGACTAATCTTCCTGACATGTGACATAGCTTAGTGCTTTCCAAATGCTATTTCATGGACCAATGATGATGCACAATAAAGTTGTCACCAATCTCAGAAAAATACAAAATTAAGTGAATTTAAGTTATAATTTATCTTTCCAATATTCTACTATGGAATGATAGTGTTAGCAGGAGGTAGTTAGGTTATTGCTTGTTTGTTTGTTTGTTGTTTTAAAATTTTATACAATGAAAAGTTGGCAAGTCTATATATATATATATGTTAAAATTTACTCTTTGGTAAATTCTAAAGGCTGGGGAAACCTGATACAGGGAACTAAATGAAAAATAGAAGTTCTGTTTCTGACAATATGGAATACTATATATTCAAAAAATGCTTCTGATGCCATGCACCTAAAAAAGAATGTAAAATTGGAAAAATTATATATTTAGAAAAATGCATAGTTGCATTGGCAAGGAAGGAAAATTCCTAGAGGACAAAAATGACAAGAAAGCACAAGTCAAAGAAAGCTACATTTGGGAGAAAGAAGACAAATCTCAAGGTGTGAGCAAGGTGGGAAGAAGGATCAAAGACTCTTGCTTAAAGCTAGTACTCTGCAAAGATGGCATCCTTGGTGAAAAGAGAGAATATGAAAAAAAGTTCCTATCAAAGAAAGCCCAGTAAGTCCAACTGCCTATCTTAGCCCTGGCATATTAGGAAGGATAAATTTCTACTGAGAAATTCATAACCATGAGTCACTGTCATAAGATTTAAGGCTGGAATTCCCATTACTAATATGAGCTGAAAAATTCCAAGTTGAGAATTCAGAATAGTCTGAGATGGGAAGTGCCTCCAGGTGCCTGATGGGAGGACACATAAATTTTCTCTGAAGGCATGCACCTTGACTTTAGACCTCCAAGAATTCTTATAGATATAACTTTAATTAACATTAGCTCATAATTAAAAATCACAAAATACATATGGAAATAAGATGTCATGGGAAGAAATCAAGTAATACATTAAGAAGCAAAATCAGAACATTAAGAACGTCAGATTCTAGAAATGTTGTGTACAAAATATAAAATAAAAGAAGTATTGAAAATATAAAATATTACTAAGAATATTCTTTTAAGAGAACTAATTAAAACTTGTAAAACTGAAAAATATAAACACTGGAATTTTAAACTGCAGTTATACAGGTAAATGGAGGATGAATAAATTTGAAGGTAGATATGAAATAATAACCTTGAAAGTATGGAGGAACAAAGAGAATGAAAATATGAGAGGTAAGTTAAGAGAAAGAGAAGATAAAGTGAGATTGTAAAATAGGCATCTAATTGGGATCACAAAGTGATAATAGAGATAGACAATGAGGATATGCATAGCCAAAGTTATAATGAATGAAAACTTTCCAGAATTGATGAAATACAGGAGTCATCAGATTCAGAAATCCTTATGAATACCAAGTATGATAAATTAGCAAGCTACACCTTAATACACCATATAGACATTATAGAGTATCAAAGATAAACATATCTTTAAAGAAGCTACAGAGAAAAGAAAAATAACCTATAAAGTAGGTGTGGGAATAACTTATAAAGATAGGCCAGGGGCTGCATAAAGCCCATGAAATCATTTGGTCTGGCCCTGCCAAGGCATTAGGGGAGAGTTAATTAAATGTTTGACCAAACATAACAGGCTATTTTTTTCCCCTCATCTACATTTTTTTCTTTTATTAAATATTTAGTATAACATTATTTTTAAGTCATTATAAAGCATTCTAGTATATGAGTGAACCATAATGAACACCATATTTTAGTATCTGCATCTTTGGGCAGATCTTTATGCTTGTCTATGGTTACTTCCTTCAGTTAAATTTCAGAATTAATGGGTAAACATGTGTGTATATTTTTATTTTGGTCAAATTATGTTTTAGAAAGTTGTCCTGCTGGATGCACAAATACTATTTATTTCACTTCATGGAGTCAGCATGAAGTATTCCCATTTCTTTCAAAAAATAAAATTTTAAACTTTTTTATATTAAACTTTAGTTTAAATGCCTCTGTTTTAATTTCATTATCTGTTCTTTATAGGATAACTAGAGGCCCAGTGCATGAAATTTGTGCACGGGGGGCGGGGAGAGGGTGTCCCTCAGTCCAGCCTGCACCCTCTCCAATCTGGGACTCCTCTTGGGATGTCTGACTGCCCAGGATCAGGCCTAAGCGGGCAGTCGGACACCCCTCTCACAATCCAGGACTGCTGGCTCTCAACCGCTTGCTTGACTGCCTGCCAGCCTGATCACCTCCTAACCACTCTCCTGCCAGCCTGATAAACCGCCTAACTGCTCCCCTGAAGGCCTGGTCCCCCAACTGCTCTCCTCTGTAGGCCTGGTCCCTCCCCTTGACTGGAATCAACCCTGGTACCCTTTGGTCCACAAGTTGACACTCTATCCACTGAACCAAACAGGCTAGGGCTGCCCATTCATTAATCTGATTGTTTGTTTGTTGGTGTTGAGTTGTATAAGTTCTTTATAAATTTTGAATATTAACCTCATATCAGATGTATCATTGGCAAATATGTCCTCCTATTCAGTGGGTTGTCTTTTTGTTTGTTTGATGGTTTACTTTGCTGAGCAAAAACTTTTTAATTAAATGTAATCCCATTTATTTATTTTTTCTTTTGTTTTCCTTGCCTGGAGAGCTATATCAGAAAAAAAAAATATTGCTAGAAGAAATGTCCAAGATTTTACTGCGTGTGTTTTCGTCTAGTATTTTTATGAAATCAAGTCTTACATTTAAGTCTTTAACCCATTTTGAGTTTATTCTTGTGCTTGGTGTAAGAAGGTGGTCTAGTTCCACCTTTTCTGCACATATCTGTATGTTGCTGCATTTTAAAAACTACCTTACTATTTACTGAATGTGGCCAAATAGCTCTGAATGTTTAATCTAATCTTCTAAGGCATGACATCAGGACTTTAAAAATACTGTAAAATTCATGCTTTTTAAGAAATAATAGGACTCACTTTTATTCCAAGATACCACTTTAATGAAATGATTTGAAACATTTATTGTCAAAATAATACATGCTCTTTATTCTAAAAGTGCAAACAACACTGAAGTACATAAAGTAAAAAGTGGAAGTCCCCTGCAGTCCTGGTCAATACCGGTCCCCACAGAGAGCCACTGTTGACAGTGCTATGTTCCTTTCCAGATCTAGACTTATTACATTCAACTTGCTTTTCACCAACAACATATCGTGGTGATGTCTTAACATCAGTGCATAGAGAGATACCCTATTGCTTCATAGTATTTCATAGAACAGATGTGCCATAATTTATTTTTTGTTGATCAAAATTTTGTTTTCAGTGATTGTTTTTTGTACACATACTTCTGCACATTTGTTAGAAATTTTCTCTGAACTAGATTTCTAGAATTTGGGTTAACATATCAAATTAAAACATTTTTACATTTTAATACATTGTGTTCATTTTTTTTAAATTAAAAAAAATCCTGAGTTTTTCATTAGTTTAAGGTATTTTATTTAGTTTATTTTAGCTCTAGTTAAACTTTGAGGCCACTGCTGGCATGGGTTGGAGAAACCCCTCTAGGGAGGACTAAATAAGCTGAGAAACCATGGAGAAAAGAAGTAAGGCTCACCTGGGAAAGCCATGTGCTACACAATCATCCCAATGTCCCAGAGAAAATGAATAAAAAGAAACAGCATGTCAAAGTGAAGCAGAAAAAAGTGAGTGCTGGGTATTCAAAACCATGTGAGGAAAGATTTTTATTTTTAAATTAAAGCCTTAGTCTTGAATGATGCAGGTAGAATGTGCCATTCATATGTGGACCTTTAGCTCCTAAATAAACAATAATCTCATTCTGAAGTATCAAATTTTTAATATTCAAATTTCTTACAAGCTTCAAGTGTTTCATGACTTAAACATACATATTTCTCACAAAGACTTATGTTCCCCAAGTTAGAGACAATGTTTTGAAACAAAGAGTGCTTTCAATAAATCTGCCCTCCTCTCCTCTCCTCTCTTCTCCACCCATTTTCCACTCCCACCCCCCCCAACAAATGGTGCTGGTTCAACCGAATCCACATGCAAAAGATAGGCAAAGTCTTACCTTACACTAGACACAAAAAATTAACTCAAAATGGGCCACAGACCCAAATGTAAGAGCTAAGTCTATAAAACTCAGTGGAAAACATAGGAGTAAATTTCTGTGATCTTGGGTTAGGTAATCATTTTTTAGACATGGCAATAAAAGCATGAGCTACAAATGAAAGATAGATAAATTTGGCTTCATTAAAATTATTAAGTTTTGTGCTTCAAAGAATACCACGGATAAAGTGAAAGATAACCCATAGAGTAGGGGAAAATATTTGCAAATTATATATATGAAAAAGGATTTGTATCCAGAATATACAAATAAGTCTTACAATTCAATACTCAAAAGGCAACAAGCCCTGTGCTCACTTCAGCAGCACATATACTAAAATGGAATGATACAGAGATTAGCATGGCCCCTTGCAAAGATGACATGCAAACTTGTGAAGTGTTCCATATTTGAAAAAAAAAAAAGACAAAAAGCCCAATTAAAATAGACAAAGAATTTGAATAGATATTTCTACATAAAGAACATACACGTGCCAATGGCACATGAAAAGGTGCTTAATGTTATCAGCCATTTGAGAAGTGAAAATCAAACCCACAGTGAGATACCACTTCACACCCACTGAAATGACTAAAATTAAAAAGACAATAACACGTATTGGTGAGAATGTGGAGCAACTCAGTGCTGGCGGAGATGTACAATGGCACCGCCATTTTGGAAAGCAATCTGGTAGTGCCTCAAAAACACAAACATAGAGTTACTGGAGGGCTCAGAAATTTTACTCCTAGGTGGATACCCTAGAGAAATTTGAAATTATGTCCACACAAAAATCTGTACATGAGTGTTTATAACTGCATGATTCCTAATAGAAAAAGAGGAAACAACACAGATATATATCCATTGATAAAAGGTTAAGCAAAATGTGATAAATCTGTAAATAAATCTGAATTTATTCAGCCACCAGGAGTGATATATTGATAATTGCTACAATACGCATGAATCTATATGAGTTGTCTAGAATAAGTAAATTTGTAGAGACAGGAAGTAGGGTGGCAGTTGGGAGGAAGGGATAGTGATTGAATGCTAGTGGGTGTGGGGTTTCTTCTGGGGGTGAGGAATCTGTTATAAAAGTAAATTGTGGTGATGGTTGTTCAGCTCTGTGAATATACTAAAAACCACTGAATTGTACAGTGATTGAATTGTCAACCTATTTTAAATGAACCATGTTCAAATGTTCTAAAAACATTTCATTTCAAGCATATAGACAATAATAGAATGAGCACCCATATACTTACCTCGCAGCTTAATAAAGAAAACCCTACAGATGTCATGGAAACCTCTTGTGCATTTCTTCTTGATTTCAATTAACCTTATGCCACCTCTGGAAGTAACTATGCTGTTTACTGGCAGTTAACTTGATATTTACAATTTCTTGAATATTTTATACATTTGCTATATTTGTATTTATATATGTCATATAAAAACGTGTGTTTATTTATAAACATTATATAATATTTATATATATATTTAATATATTTTATTGATTTTTTACAGAGAGGAAGAGAGAGGGATAGAGAGTTATTATAGAAACATCGATGAGAGAGAATCATCAATCAGCTGCCTCCAGCACACCCCCAACTGGGGATGTGCCTGCAACCCAGGTACATGCCCTTGACTGGAACTGAACCTGGGACTTTTCAGTCCGCAGGCTGATGCTCTATCCACTGAACCAAACCAGTTTCGGCTAATATTTATATTAATATCACCCCTTTTATGTTTTACTGGTTTGTTCAGTTGTGAAGAGCACCTGGGGTAGGATACCCACCGTGAGATCCAGGCTGCGTTCCCACAAGCCCCGTGGGGCTCTCCCTGCAGAAGCCCTGAGAGGTGAAGGCCATCCTGCCTACAAGCCACAGGATCACACAGGAAATCCAGCTTCTTGGAACCACAGCTGCTCTGTCACCTCTGCTTCTCTGTGGTTCCCCCCCTCTTGTAGAAGGTGTTTCAGTCTGGTTAACGGGTGAGCTCTGTGTTTCAGTGTGCATTTTATTTTCTAGTTCTGTTCTGTTGCCGGGTAGTAGAAACCAAGTATTTCCATCACCGTGTCTTAGAATCTGGCCCATGCTTCCAGCTATACAGTAGCGAAGAGTCCCAGTTCTGTCTCTGAGAAGACCTGGAGCAGGTCTTTCTACCCCGAGGCCCCTGAGCATGGCCTGTCTTTCCCACTTAGTGGGCCCTTCTTGGGTTCATCTGTGCGGACAGGCCTCGAGCCTTCTCCAAATCCATCCTACACACACGCTCAGAGAGATCCTCCCTCAGCATGGGATCCGTCTACCACGAATCTGTGTAAAGCACAGATGGGGAGGAGGAAGAGGAACTTGCAGGGTGAGCACATCCAGGGCCTATTGTGGCGTCTCCCCTTTTCACTGGTGCTGGTTGAGAAGAGGAGAGGTGAGAGGTCAGAAGCAGGTCTGGAAAATGGCAGAGAACTAGGAGGCCCAAGGCCCTGCTCAGATACTCCCCTCCTGCTGCTGCTAACCCCTTCTCCCAACCCCTGTTGCCTCCCCTCTTCCCAGGCTCCTCCCACAGGTATCTTGGATGCAGCAAGTCCTACTCCTTCCACCACAACAAGCCTGTGCAGCTGGCCCTTTAAATGCTTCTGGAAGGAGATAGTGGAAGAGAAACTGAAAAAGCTGATGGACCCTGGGCTCTTAGCAACAGGGTCCCATGGCATGCAGGCAAGAAAATGGAAATCAAAATAGTGACTTAAAGAGACGGTCATGGTGGATATATTTCAATGCTGGCACACGGTCTGTCCTGAAATATTTTTAGAGGTGAGTTCACAATTTAAGTGCTGGTGGTCTTTTGTTTGTCCCCCCAAGGACCCCACCCATCCTAGGCTCCAGGGGAGAGGAGACCAATGGGAGCTTAAGAGTATATTTAATGCAAAAGGAAGCAAAAAAACAACTAAATCTCCCCAAGCACTGTGGTCATCAGCCAGATTCTAGAAACTTGTTAACTCAGTTTCTTCCTTTCTCCTGTGGAAAGAATCTCTCGCAGCATCTTCCCTTTCCAGATTCAGTGTGCCTGCCCCTGCCCGGGATGTTTTATTCCTCCTCTAAATGTCCAAGAAATGTCATTTCCTCTGAAAACGTGGGTTCTCCTCCATAGTTGGGAATGAACTCTCCCTTGAATTTCTCTTGTCCTTCATCCTTTACCTCATACCATCACTTTCCACCTCGTGCCTGGAGAGAAGGCTAATGATGTGTGCAGCCTGGCTCTCTCCAGATCCTGAGCTCCCGTTGAATTCATCTTTATCTCCCAGAGTGGGAGACACTGTGCCTTGCATGTGGTCCATGAGCAAACACATGTCTCATTTGATTCTTCTTAAAAGTCAGAAAGAGGTGTTTTATCCCTTTGACTAAGAGAAGTGTGGCCCAAAGGTGAGAATGACCTGCCTGTGTAGAGGTCTTTCTCCACCACTTGCTGCTTCAAAAAATAGAAAGGCTAATGAACAGCAAACAAACAAAAAACTCCCAAACCCCTCTTCTCTTTGTGTGGGGCAGCTCTGTATCTGCCTCCTGAGAGCCCTTCACTCTTGAACACAAAAGTAAATCACTGCTTATGCCTCAGTTTCAGCACTGGTTCCTCCTTTTCTGCTTGTGGGAGATGCCTTTGGGCCCTGGTGCTGCTGTGATGAGCTAACACCTGTCTCCCAGACTCCCCGCGGGCTCTGCCGCCCCTCCCCCTGATGGCTGCTGTGGGGAGAATGTGTTCCTGTGTTTCTCAGGAAATATTCTTTCTGACTGGAGGTTTCCCATGTGCTTTGTGTCTGTTCTACTTGTCTACCATTTGCTGACAGATTGCCCTCAATTATTCATATACAAATAAATAAACGTTTATTTCTTGGCACATTTCCCATCACCAGGCCAACAGCAGATGCTTCAGAGGTTGTTAGAAGATGTCAATGTCTCACTCGGTAACGTGCCACTAAGAAGATTCACAAACAAGAAACAGAACACTTCACTGTTTCTTGGGCTGGGAGGGTTTGGTAATTCAACGTGGGGAGGCCTGGTTTTGAGACAGGACGGACTGGTTAAACGGCCTTGAGAAATTCACCCTGCACTTCAGTTTCTTTACCTGGAAAGTGAGAGCATGGATCAGATTATCCAGATCTATGAGTTTGCCTCTTACCACGTTCAGGCTATCTAAGTCTGCGGTGAGACTGTAGGATATGGGTCATCTAAGTCCAAGAATGAAACATTAATAAGTTTCCAGGTGGGAAGGGAATACGAAAGAGAAAAATGCTTCCAGAGCAGAATTCATTAATTCATAGAATCATAATTACATTTGTAACTCCAATGTGGGATTTAAAGGGAAAATATCAGATGGACCACTGTGCTCCATTTTAATTCAGTGTATCTCAGGATTCCCTACTTCAAAACTCTCAAAGTTCTTGCCAAAGAGTGGGGTGCAGCCTTGACACTCTTTAACTGCCTGAATAGGGGTGATCATATCACCTCTAAGAACTCACTAACTTCTCCGCCTTCTATCCTTCCTAAAGCCGTTCTTATCCACAGGACGTGGGCAAAGGGGAAGAAGGAGGGATCCTGAATGCAGTCCATACTAAAGTCTAAGTAGGGGATCTCCCAAACCATGTCTTCCTTCTGGACTACCCAGTCCTTGCCCATAGCTTCTCGTTTTCTTGTCCAGTTAAAGGCTGCTGCATATTGTTGCCCAAAGTTGCCAACTTGAAGTCTCTCTTATTAGTGGCTGGACGTGTGTGGCTGTTATTATGTGAGAACGTAAACTGTCCCCATGTAGATTTTTGGCCTCCCTTCCACAAGGGGAGCTAATGAAGCTCATCTGGGGATGGCTGAGAGGCTTTTTGACCTTTGGGAGAGGTAGGACCGATTACTGTGGGGATGGTCTCTGGTTAGTCTTATTCAGACAGTCTGATTGGTCCCAGCCCACTCTATCTCCCCAGACTCTTCATAAAACAGTGTTCAGTTTTATAGATTTCCCCCCGATAAACTCCTCTCTAGAATTTGATAGAGAATAACTCTTCATCACCCTGATACTCAGAGTATATCCCAAAACCCCAGAGCAGGGCTTTCCTTTTCAATATTCCCCATTATAGAGGAGAATACATCCTTCAAACTACCCAGCTGGGCTGGTCCCTACAAATTTCTCGAGCAGCCCATTTGATTTATTTATTATAGATTAATTGATGGACTTTTGTCCCGGCCATGATAGGATAGCTGCATTTCTCAGTAGCCTTTTCTCTTACAGCTAAGAACTTCCCAGATGTAACACAACAAACACAGGAAGATCAGAAAGGTGGAAGGACACAGGTGTACCGCCTTGAACCTTAGGACGTGGGGAACAACACCATGGTGAGTTCCCTGGGTTTTCTGTTCTTCTATATCTCAGATTGCAGGGCGGTGGAAACACCA